TCTCTCTCTCTCTCTCCCTCCCTCCCTCCCTCCCTCCCTCCTTCCCTCCCTCATGCGGCATCACAATTACTCCATCTCATAGCCTGGTGGTTCCAGCTAGGCTCAAGACCCACATTCCACACAAATGCTGTGAGTGTCGGTCGAGTCCCGACGTGCACAGTGCTCACCATTGTCTTTTTAAAATAGTTAGGGAAGCAACTTAGGAAAAAATAAAACAAGCCCCTAAGTCACGTAAAAGCCCTCTGGGAATGATGGGAAGGAATCCAGCTGTTCTTTGCCCTTTGTGTCTCTGGTAGACACTGGCGATCATTCAGGATGTCGCTTACCCTGAAACCTGTTGATCAGGAAATGAGATGTGTGCTTAAGTATGAAAAATGAACCCTAGTTTCCTGGAGGTACTGTTGAGACCAGAAAGGGATCATTAAGCTTTCAAAATGTAAATATGAAGCAACCCTGGTCTGTGTGTCTAACACGAGTTTGCTGAATTAACCTCTAGTCAGAAAAAGTTCTTTACAAGCGTACCTTCGGTGTTACAAGAGGAATTAAAAAAAAAAAAAAGACCAGATTTGTTCAAGGGGCAATTACAGAATAAGCAACCATTATTTACGATTCAGTTTCATGGACTGTCATTACAGTCCTCCATATGGGCACACAGTGCTGATGGGTCAAGGTTCAGCCACGGGCTTATTTTAGTATCATACATAGGTTAGGAGACATATTGAGTTTTCCAAAGACAGCCGCTCCCTTAATATCGGGAAAGGCCAAGGGCACAGAAATTGTCAAGATCTTCCACAAAAGAAGAGGATGAAACAGAGCCAAAAGCAGTCCGAGGCTGATTTGGACATGGTTAATGACACTGTCCCATTGGAAAGCTCTGAGGACTGCCACCGAGCCTGCTGAAGATAGCTCTACTGAATTTCTCAAGAGCCAAAAGCCTTGGCTAGAAACATGTGTTTGATAGTTTGACCTTATCGATGCCTAGAAACTTCTAGTCTTTTTTTCCCTCCCTATAGCAAGTTTGCTGGTCTCAGGGAAAATCTGTTTCAGAACCACTGTTGTTGGGCTTAGTTTTCTAACATTCTTCTTTCCAGGGATTTCCCCCTTTTTACTCCTTCTACCCAGCGTCTGTCTTTTCCAAAACACTGGTTAATAAAATCCATCCATCATCAAGTCCCAAGAGCATGGCTCCACATCTTCATTGTCCTATACTCTCGACTCACCCTGACTATAAAGAACCACAAACTGAGTAAAGTTCATGTTCACACCCCAGTTTCTACAGCTTGCTATTTTTTTTCTTTTTTTAAAAACATAATTTCTTTATTGATTCTTTGGGAATTTCACATGATACACCCTAATTCTGCTCATCTCCCAGTCCCCCCATAACCTCCCCTTACCCCTACAATGCCCCCCCCAAGAAAACCTAGACTTTTTATATTGCAAGCATGTGCTAATGTTAATCACTCTGCTATATTGCTTACTGCATACCATCAGTTTAGAAAATGATGGACCTTTCCTGAGGCATTTATTAGATAACTGAGATACATTTTTACAGATGAAGTGAAATAGAGACACATTTAATTTTTGTGACCCTAGAGCCCATGGCTGTTGGAAGTATGCAGGCCTACCACCTCAAACAAGTTCAGACCACAGAAGTGAGGAGATATTCTGAAGAGTTACTTTACATCCCTGAAGTTCTTTCCTTTTCCCTTCTTCCCTGTGCCTCCCTCTCTGTATTGGTCCTGGTTCGACTCTTCCGGCTTATGTGTGCATGTATGACTTACTGCTAGATGGACTGGGAGAGAGCTGATCTTTTACTGCAAGGGATTTTCACATCTCTGTTTCTCTCTGATTGGATAGTCCTGAGTGGAATTATGTGTAGTCAGAAGACACAGAGAATAATGAGAAGACCTCAATTGGGCCAGTTCATAGGGAAAAGGCTAGGTCTCAGGAAAACTAGACTCGGCAGAAGGTTCTAATTGGAGTGGTGTGGGAATGGATGAGGTAGGGTGTCTTAGGTCACTATACTGTGCCAGTGTAAGCCCAAAACAAAACAAAACAATCATGAGGGAGGAAAAAGAAAGGTAGTTTTCCATGTATGCCAGGATTATGAAGACTTTTCCTTAAAGCTGAGATCTAAAAGAAAGTACAGCAAACTTCTCTATCTGGCATTATTGCCCAAATTAAAATATACACATATACACTTTCTTTCTAGGAACAGTTCGACTGAAATTCTGTCTCTCTCTCTCTCTCTCTCTCTCTCTCTCTCTCTCTCTCTCTCTCTCTCTCTCTCTGTGTGTGTGTGTGTGTGTGTGTGTGTG